AATAAAAAATCAAGACAGTTAAAAACTGAATTATAATTTTTTTTTCTTGGTTAAAAGGATGGATTTTATTAAATTCTAATTGATAAATAATTTTATCAGATTCCACCATGATTTGCATGAAAAACCGAATTATAAATTCAAGATGCAATGTGAAAAATGACGTAATTAAGTTCAGACGACAACGTTTCTAAATTTTCTAAGACTGTTAAACTGAATTAAAAATAACAGTTGCATGCATTACTTGGCCATGACTAGATTCCATGTCAGTAGATCCGGCCAAGAATTTTGGATAATGACATCCACGTAATGGCTGACTCTGAGTCCTTTAACTTATAATCCAATCATTTTACTTTTCTAATAAGGGCAGATCAGCCTTATCATCTGTTTCTTTATACAACTGTGTTTTGAACGGTTTCATTCGGAGTTGTTGGATAATATTTTCAGTTGAGGACTCCCACGTTTCCTAAATTTCCACACAAGGACACTATTTATGGAATTTATGCAATCTAGTTGGATAAAATAGGAATTTCAACGGGTCGTTTCTTAAGTTGAAGGACTCCCATGCTTCCAAATTTTCATGCAGGGACATTTTAGGTTGCTATATAAGAATCCAGTTTTGCAACATATCGTACCACACAGAACCAATTTGCTTTCTTCTCTACTTTTGGCTTCTTGTTTGCTTCGAGTCATATTCTAATTGCTCGATTTTTCGTAGGCAAAGATGACTATCCTCACTGAGCAGCTTGAGCTTGGTAAACCCTTCTACCCTTTTCCTTTAATTCGTTTTTTTTTTTTTCCGAGCGATGGTGGCGGAGGGAGGAGTTGAACACAGAACCTTGGATGAATGGTTGAATGCTGGCATCCAAGCGGGCTGCAAGCCCTTGCCCTTTGTACCTTGTTTAACTCTATTGCATTGGTTTTATGTTCCGGTTTTTTTTATTTTTTATGATTAGTTAATTAATTATGATATTAATTTGCTCGATAGGGTTACAAATGGAGGAAAAGAAGATTATTTCTTCAGAGATCGATGGAGAAATCAATGAATTAGTATTGGATGGTGGGTTTGTGGTGCCCAAAGAGATCTCCAAAAATGATGGAATTGTGGCACAAGACATTGCAGTATCCAATGAGGCTTTCATTGCACCTGAAATTAATTCATTTGGCCAGTCTTTCAGGTCTGCATAATTATATAAAATTGTTCTTATAATTAACTTTTTGTCACATTTTTCATGTAGGTTGTTGTTGTGAAATATTGAGGTCTGACGTGCATATGCAAATGCAATGCAGGGATTATAACGCTGAAAGCGAAAGGCATAAATCTGTGGAGGAATTCTACCGGTTGAACCACATTCATCAAACTTATGATTTCGTGAAGCAAATGAGGGAGGAGTATAGCAAGTTGAATCGAGTCGAAATGAGCATATGGGAATGTTGTGAGCTCCTCAATGAGGTTGTGGATGACAGTGATCCTGACTTGGATGAACCACAAATTGAGCACTTGCTGCAAACTGCTGAAGCAATTAGAAAAGACTATCCCGATGAAGATTGGTTGCACTTGACTGCTCTTATTCATGGTATATTCCCAATTAAAATCCCTTAATTTTGATTTTAATCTTAGCTGTTCATTTGTTAGAATATATAACGGACTTTTCTTCCACATGTTTAAATGTAAATATGTTTTCAATAAACTTGAATACTTAATGTTTTAAATGCAGTTAACCGTACTGTAGAATGACTCATATATTATAGTTTACAAAATTCTAGAATTAGAATGATCCACAACTGCTTATGACTTTTTCCAATGAAGTTCTCCATACCCAATTTCTTGGATTTGATAAAAGTGCTTCTTCTCTCGCATTAACTTAATCTTGCATGGGTTTCAGATCTTGGAAAAGTGCTTCTGCTTCCTAGCTTTGGAGAGCTTCCTCAATGGGCTGTTGTTGGTGAGTGTTGTGTTTTGACTATTGAAATTTGATTACCCTTTCACAATTTTGAGCTATTTCAACTGAAAAAAGTATTCAAACTTTATGTTGCAGGAGACACACATCCTCTCGGTTGCGCTTTTGATGAATCCATTGTTCACCACAAGGTATTTATCATTTCCCATCAAAGATTTAGTTAGACTGAAGTAAACATCTTAAATATGATCATAAATATATAGTCAATCATTTCTTTGCTCTTGCAGTATTTCAAGGAAAATCTGGATTACAACAATCCTTCCTACAACACCAAGAATGGGATCTACTCAGAAGGATGTGGACTGGACAATGTCATGATCTCTTGGGGTCATGATGACTACATGTACTTGGTACGTCTTTCACTTCGTGCGTGCGAATTTCAAACGTTAATATCAAGGTAACCCTGATTTTGTTAACTGGTGTATTCAAATTAATCTGCAGGTGGCCAAAGAAAACAGAGCAACTTTGCCTAAGGCTGGATTGTTCATAATCCGGTATCACTCATTTTATCGTAAGTACCACGAAAATGCAGAATCCCTTGCAAGAAAGCAAATGTGACCAAATGCTAACTTCCAATTTATCATTATGTTGCAGCTTTACATAGGGCAGGGGCATATAGACACCTTATGAACAAGGAGGATGAAGAGAATCTTAAGTGGCTTCAAGTATTCAAGTAAGCTCCATTTCTACTTCACTTAATTTATGTATACATATGTATGTATATATCTTGTGATTGCAAGATTGCATGAACAAAACTGACCATACTGTGCTTTTCCTTTTGTGATGTTGTGCAGCAAATATGACCTCTACAGCAAGAGCAAAGTTCGAGTTGATGTCGAAAAAGTGAAGCCATATTATTTGTCCCTCATTGAGAAGGTGAGTACTGTTCTGTAGTTCCTCGAGCGGATTCTTTTCGATTATTCACTAACTCGTATTCTGATTAATTGGCATGTGAATTTTTCCGCAGTATTTCCCAGCAAAACTGAGATGGTGAGCCCTTAAGGTTTTCGGCATGATCGACATATATATTAAGGAAAATTGAACCCTTATTCTGCTTCAAGATGTTCAGTGTTGTACAAAGTGTTTGATTAAAAAAGAGACTGTTGAGTTGTATTAAATTCTATGTGAGGAGTTGTACTCTGTGCTTTTAACTTTTAATAAATGTATTCTTCTTGTGCTGCTGCCCCAAATTCAAAGATAAATAAAGAAAATTGTATTTCTGCATCTTTCATTTCAGTAATTCCATAAGCTTCTAAATATCTTCTATGCTTTCTCAACCTATTTCTTTCGGTCGAAAAATTTCTGGATCCGCCAGTCTGCGAACCAGCAGCCCAAGTTCATATATTGCAGACAAAATGGTCATGTCTTGTTTCTTCGACTGCCATGGCACCCCACAAAAAATACTTTCCTACCCCGAGTGTATCCTCTCTCTCTCTCACTCATCACCTAAGTACGAGTGTCGAGTGAGATAGAGAAGAAGAGTATCTTCTCCACCCCACAAATTTCATGAGAATTAGATCCCACTGAGACAAATCACTGTTTGGAATTTTGTTCATCAAGCTGTGATCAGTGGAGTATTTTATTAATTATTCCATTTGCCATACGCAATAGCAAATGTACAAAACAATGTTAAGAAAATAAGAAAAGATCAAAAGTCAAAGTCGTGCATTCTTATTATTCAATTCCCACGTTCAAATTGATAATACAGTCAAAACCCTGCAATACCAGAAGCCGAGCGTCAAAAATTAAAAGATAAAGTTTCTTTCATGAATCCAACGCGAGAAAAAACTTAAGTTACTCAAAAAATATTCCTCTCTTTGTGTAATATTTATTATCGGATCATTACGTAACCTAATCAAGTGAAAAGTAAAAATAACGATAAATCTTCGTACAAGAATATTCTCCTAGAGCAGATGCATTGCAAGATATAATATTGTTATAAGATGGTAGCTTACGATAATAAAAAATATAGGAAAGAAACAAAAGAAGAGTGGTCTTACTATAGTGGTGGATTGGACAGATCATATAAGATAAACCAAATCACAATCTATATATAAAGTCCAATGTGACACATAAACTAAAACAATTACATTAGCATATAAAAAATAAAATAATATACAATTATTTGGTCAATTACGTAACGCATCAAAACCATTGACTAATTACACTATTTTTCGAATTGTTGCAAAAATATTTCTTTTGCTTAATGGCTTTTTTCTTCTTTCCACCTAGAAAGTTGGATAGGATCGTTGAATTGAATTCAAGAAGAAGAGCTTTTTGTAGTAATTGATTGGAGCTTTATGGCTCAGTTTGGATGTGTTTTTAAAATGATTTAAAGCGTTTTTATGTAAAATATTTTTTAAACTAATCTTTAATAAAAATCCAATGTATTATGAAAAAGCATTTTAAGTGCTTCCTGCAATAAGCACATATCTAATGCTTCTTCCAAAAAGCACTTAAAAGTGTTTTTGGAACTCAAAATTAATTTTAATAATAGCGCTGTTTAGTCATTTTAAAAGCACAACCAAACGAGTCCTTATTCTTATAGGCCGCAATGTTGTATGTGATGCATCGATTTTATAAACGCTAAAGGGAAATGCTAAAGAGACTTTCTCAAAATGGACTAAGTATGAAATTTGTATTGCCTCACAGTTTAACATCAATTCACGTGTTAACATTATAAATCATTATGTCAAAAATATAAGATGGCAAAATGTACATGAAGAGTCGCTTTTACTAGAGTCTTCTTGGCATTTCACAAGCGGTAAATTAGAATATTTAACTTAAACCATACAAATTTAGCTATTTTAAAAAAATAACAGTCTGACTCTGATACACCTATATGCATTATAAGATTAGTCTTATACACCTATATGCATTATAAGATTTGTCTATTGTTATCTGAAACTGAAAAAATGCCTCAATTAAACAAAGACGGTCGCACTTGCCGTGCACACGTGCGCTGCGTCTGTTCCGTTCTGTCTATCCACCAAGGCACCAGCTCTTCGTCTTCTCCTCCGTCAAAGCAAAAGCGCCAAAGAACGCCATAAAATTTCTAAGATTGCTTACCATTTTCGCCACCAGTTCAAATTGCTAAAAAAAGGTCCAAGATTTTATGCATTCACCAAATTTACCCCACAATTTCTCGTTCAAGCTCTAGTCTTTGATCCAAAAATCACACCACTAAAACCAATTCTCACAAACCCCAAATCCCCAAAACTCAGAATTCAATTCCGCAGTCTATTTCCAGCTAGGGTTTTTATCTCTGTGATGAGTTTTGCCTCTTCTGTATGGCTCAAAACCCCCCGTTTCTTCTTCACCTTTTCATCCTCAACCTCTTCATCAGTTTCGCCATAAACCCTAGTCTCTGCGCTGATTCGGACGATGATTTTTCGATTCTTGGGTTCGAAATTCACGGGGACTACTCGCCACCTTCGCCGCCTCCGAGTCCGCCGCCGCCCCACCCTCCCCCGCTCTCGTGCCAGGGGGGTCTCAACGGAATTGGGTCTCTGGACACCACTTGTGAGCTGAATTCAAGCTTGATTCTTGAAGATAATGTGTATATAGAAGGAAATGGGAGCTTATATATACTTTCCGGTGTTAATTTGAGCTGCCCATTATTGGGTTGTGAAATTGTGGTTAACATTAGTGGGGAATTTAGTTTAGGTAGAAATTCAATGATTATTGCCGGGTTAGTTTCGGTTAATGCTTCGAATGCGAGCTTTTTAACTGGTTCAGTAATAAATGTTACGGCATTGGCTGGTGCACCCCCGGCGCAGACTAGTGGCACCCCGGATGGTGTTCAGGGTTCTGGTGGAGGGCATGGTGGGAGAGGTGCTAGTTGTGTGATTGATAATACGAAGCTCCCCGATGATGTTTGGGGTGGGGATCCATATGCGTGGTCATCGTTGGATGAGCCAGTGAGTTATGGCAGCAAGGGTGGAACAACTAGTAAGGATGAGAAGTATGGTGGGGAAGGAGGTGGGAGGATTTGGTTGGAGGCAAGAAGTTCAATTGATCTTAGTGGGAGTGTTTTGGCTGATGGTGGTGATGGTGGGATTAAGGGTGGTGGAGGTTCAGGGGGCAGCATATTTGTCAAAGCTCGTAGAATGTATGTACTTTACCTGTTTTGTGTTTAACTTTAAACAATGACTCATTAATGATTATGTCTATTAATATGCTCAATCATGGAAGCTAATAGTTTGTTTTGTTGGATTTCTTGTTAAGTACCTCTTGCATTGCGTAACTACAATTATTTTTCTTGAAGAGCAGGACTGGAAGTGGCAGGATAAGTGCAGTGGGAGGTAATGGATTTGCTGGAGGAGGAGGTGGAAGAGTTTCCATCAAGGTTTTCAGCAGGCGTGATGATACAGATATCTTCACTCATGGTAAGTAAAAAGTAATCATTTTGTAATATAATTTTGTACATCAAAGCAAAGAACTTGCTTAAGTTTCTCTTCAGTAATATGTAGAGGAAGAACTTATTTTTGGGAGAACCATTGGAACTACTTTGTTTTTGTACAATACCACTGCTATGTGGTGATGTTCTGCTTCTTCTGGCAGGGGGAAGGAGTTTAGGCTGTCTTGAAAATGCGGGTGCTGCAGGAACATATTATGATGCTGTACCTCGGAGACTTATAGTCAGTAATCATAACTTCTCCACACAGACTGACACGCTTCTGCTAGAGTTTCCTAAACAGCCACTTTGGACAAATGTTGACATCCAAAATCATGCCAAGGCTTTGGTTCCTTTGTATTGGAGCCGTGTTCAGGTGATTGAAGAACTAAACTAACTTTGGCGGCTCTGTGATGAAGGGCTCTTCTTGTCTCAATTTTTATAATTATAAATACAAACATGCTATTTAAAGTCATATTATACTGAAATTGTAATGCATTGTTATACTGAAATTGTAATGCATTGTACAGGTTCGAGGTCAAATTCGTTTATCATGTGGTGCAGTTTTGAGTTTTGGTCTTGCACATTTTGCTTCATCAGAATTTGAGTTAATGGCTGAAGAGCTTCTGATGAGTGATTCTATTGTCAAGGTAAGCGTAAGACTTATCCGTTTTATTTCTTTCTTTCTTTCTTTCTATTCTTACATGTTTGACTGTCAGGGAAAAATTTAATTGGGGGTGGGGGTGGAAATAGGAAAACGCCATCTCATATGTTGCAGTATTCTAAAACTTGAGTGTCTATTGTCTTTTTCTGATAAGCTCAGATATTTGGGGCTCTTCGAATGTCTGTCAAAATGCACTTGATGTGGAATTCTAAAATGCTAATAGATGGTGGTGCTGATTCAATTGTGGCAACATCCTTACTTGAGGCAAGCAATTTAGTGGTTCTCAGGGTATGTTGAAACTAGAACCTTGATTTTACACTTAAACGACACATAGAACCTTGATTTACATTGTCAAATCATGCTTCCGTATTTGGTTGTCAGGGGGCGTCTGTGATACATTCTAATGCGAATTTGGGAGTTCACGGACAAGGTTTCTTGAATTTGTCCGGGCCAGGAGACCTGATTGAAGCACAACACCTGATTCTGTCTCTATTTTTCAGTATCAAGGTAAACTGCAGATTTGGTGTGTATTTTTATGTATTCATCGTTTCGTTAAAACCAGGTTTTATGAGTTTTATGGTGCAGAGTTTTTAAGTATCCACCCAAGTATCATATACCTAGAATTGTTGGCATCTGAGGGACAATTTATTTGGAATCAGTTCTGTTACTTAAATTTGGAAACTTGTATTGATTTGTTGATTTGCTTTTTAACAGTATAAGAAAACACTTAAAATATGTACGAAAACATATTCTCTGATTTTGTTTCAAGTGTAACTTTTGAAGTGTACCGTATGATTTGTGCATTATTAATATCTTGTGGCCATGTACATACTGAATTTTCTTCTTTTAATACTGAAGATTGGACCTGGATCTTTACTGCGAGGGCCCCTGGACAGTGGCGGTAGTAATATGACGTAAGTTTTAAATTCATAGTTCTCAATGATGTCATTTTTTTCCCATTGGCATTGATTTTCGTTTTGGGAATGGTAGGAAACCCCAACTCAACTGTGAACTTCCAAACTGCCCCATGGAATTACTTCATCCACCCGAAGATTGTAACATGAACTCTACATTGACCTTCACTCTTCAGGTCTCCCATTGATCCAGATTGGGAACTGAGTACTTATCTTTGTCAATTTGGTTAAATGTTTAAGAAGGTTGAACAGAGTCCACCTTGTTTTTCTGATAAATGGTTAGCTTCCTCCTTCAGATCTGCCGAGTTGAAGATGTTATTGTTCAAGGAAGTATAACTGGATCTGTTATACATTTTCACTGGGTTAGAGCTGTATCGGTCCACTCTTCCGGGGTAATTAGTGCATCCGGGCTAGGTATGCATTTGGACTCTTAGTTTTTTTTTTTTTTATAACAATTTTGACTCAACATGCAACCTGGATGTTTGCTTGGATTTGAGGCGATAAATGATTACCTAGACTATGCATTCGAAGATCATAGGAATTTCTATTTCTATGCACAGGTTGCACTGGTGGGGTTGGTAGAGGAAAGCTTTTTGCAAATGGACTTGGTGGTGGTGGTGGGCATGGTGGCAAAGGTGGGGATGGGTATTACGATGGAAATTTTATTGATGGTGGTGCTTCCTATGGAGATGCTGATTTGCCTTGTGAACTTGGTAGTGGTAGCGGAAATGATAGCCTAGCTGGTGCAACTGCAGGTGGTGGTATCATCGGTAAGAAACATTAAATAAATATATCGAAACATGTGGAGAAAGTTTTAGAAGATATCAACTAATCAATGGATTAAACATGTCTAAATTGTTAAATTAGGTTTTGTTTGTGATGAGTGATGACTTTCTTTTTGTGATTGATAGCTAATGGTATTGGGTCATTATTCTTTTCTGAACAGTAACATGCTTCCTTTTTTTTTTCCCCTCTCCCTGAACAGTAATGGGTTCATTGGAGCGCTCATTGGCAAGTTTGTCTCTTGATGGTTCACTTAGAGCCGATGGAGAAAGCTTTGGAGAAGAATATTTAGAGAAAAATGATAGGATCTTTTCAAATATAGGTCCTGGGGGTGGTTCTGGTGGAACTGTTCTATTGTTTGTTCAAACATTAGAACTTGGTAATTCTTCTACAATCTCAACTGTTGGTGGACATGGTAGTCCTAGTGGTGGTGGTGGAGGAGGTGGTGGGAGGATTCACTTTCACTGGTCAGATATACCAGTTGGGGATGCATATCAACCTATAGCAAGTGCGGGAGGAAGCATCATTTCTGAGTTAGTATCTGGAAATAGATACTGCTTTTCACAATTTTGACATATATGCATCGTACATTGTTGAAGTAAATTTGTTTTTAAGTACTACTATAATTTTCTCACTTAATGATAGGTGTACACTAGAACATGTGCCACTTCTATTAAGTTTCTTTAATATAAATATGTTCAAATATAAAATAGTTTCTTTGTATAACAAGTGTTTCTGGTGTTGAGATATCACTCAAGTTTTAACCCTCTTTTTCGTTTCCTTGGTGCAGGGGAGGTTTCAGTAGAGGTCATGGTCGGGCTGGACAAAATGGGACTGTTACTGGAAAGGCCTGTCCCAGAGGGCTTTATGGTATCTTTTGTGAGGTAGCTTCACTATTTATATTTGGATGACATTTTGACTTAGTTTTAAGATATAATATGGCTCTGTTCATGCTAATATATCAAGCATCGCATAAGAAACACGTTCCATAAGTTAAGCTTCTTGTTGTAAGCTTATTTTGAAAATTCTAGTTGATGTCAGTTTTACATTATTTAATTGTTCAATTGGAATATTTTGTATTAATATTTGCCTTTGTGATTATAGGATTGAACATGTTTTCAATGAGTTTGCTTAGTTTCTCTTGGTTTTCATGTTTATGTTTTTTTTTCCCCGGTAAAATATATTTTTTTTTTTGTTCACTATTTGACCAAATTGTACTGCAGGAATGCCCTATTGGCACCTTCAAGAATGTGAGTGGCTCTGATAGAGCCCTTTGTCATGCTTGCCCATCTTTGGAGCTTCCACATCGTGCCATATATGTCACGGTTCGAGGTATCCCTAAATTTAACTCTGGCTACTATGGGCAAGAGCTTTGCTATGATTTTCTTGTGAGCTTATTTAAAGAAGACCTGGAAATTGTGATCGATTGGATTATTTTTTTGTTGAGAGTGGTGTTACGTGATTTGCCTCAATTATATTATTCTTTGGGTAAATCACCTCTTTAACTAGTTGAAATTTTGTCAGGTGGTGTCACCGAAACTCCATGTCCATACAAGTGCATTTCTGACAGATATCACATGCCAAAATGTTATACAGCATTTGAAGAGTTGGTTTACACTTTTGGTGGACCATGGTGGTTTGGTCTTATTCTGTTAAGTGTCCTCATCCTGTTAGCTCTTGTGCTTAGCGTTGCACGGATGAAGTATGTTACTGGAGACGAATTACCGACTCCTGTACCTGCTCGACAGGGCTCTCGTTTGGATCATTCCTTCCCTTTCCTGGAATCGTTGAATGAGGTTCACCTCCAGTCTTAACTTTGGCTACTTAGTTTTTATGACTGGAAGAATGGTCGTTTAAAAACCAAATTACAGTGCCCTGTAATCTACGACATATCATGTTAGATGTGACAATCCTGTTCTTGTGTAGGTTTTGGAAACAAATAGAAACGAGGAATCTCAGAGTCATGTGTATAGGATGTTTTTCATGGGGCCAAATACATTCAGTGAACCTTGGCATCTACCTCATTCCCCTCCAGAACAAGTCACAGATATTGTGTAAGCTCTCTTTCTCTTTAGTGTATTAGGATTTTGGTGGTATGATGCCCTCTGAAAAATAATTGCAACAAGTGGTACCTTAGTTATGCACTACATTTATGCTTTGTGCTTGATAATTAGCTCATTGCTTTATAGTACCCAAGTTGCATAAACTTCTGCAAGTGTTTTAAAGTATTTCATTACATGGCAGGTATGAGGCTGCATTTAATAGATTTGTGGAAGAGATTAATGCTTTAGCTGCTTATCAGTGGTGGGAAGGATCAGTCTACAGCATTCTTTGTGTTTTTGTCTATCCACTTGCGTGGTCATGGTTACAGAGTCGAAGGAAAAAGAAGTTACAACAACTGCGTGAATATGTTCGATCAGAATATGATCATTCTTGCTTGCGTTCTTGTCGTTCACGTGCACTGTATGAAGGACTCAAGGTATATCTAAGGAAGTCATAATTCTCTTGCCAACGTCTTTTGAAGTGTACCTAATTGGAGATATAGGACTTGAATTAACAGTTTTAGCATCATTTACTGTTTTGTGCCGCAGGTAGCTGCAACTTCTGATTTAATGCTTGCATACATGGACTTTTACCTCGGTGGAGATGAGAAAAGAGCTGGTCTTCCTCCCCGTCTTCATCAGAGATTTCCCTTGTCATTAATTTTTGGAGGAGATGGAAGTTACATGGCGCCTTTCCATCTTTGCAGTGATAACATTCTCACTAGCCTCATGAGTCAGGTTATCTATCTACCTTTAGGGCTGTGTTCGATATGAAGTTATTTGTTTCCTATTGCTATTTGTATAAAGCATAAGTTCTGATATTTGATCTGCTTTCAGAGTATTCCACCTACCATCTGGTATCGGCTTGTAGCCGGTCTAAACGCTCAACTGCGATTAGTTCGGCGTGGTCACTTAAAGTTGACTTTTGGTCATGTTATCAGCTGGCTTGAAACGCATGCCAACCCTACTCTTAGTGCATATGGCTTACATGTTGCTCTTGCGTGGTTTCAGCCTACAGCGTCTGGGTATAGCCAGTTTGGACTTTTGGTATATGCTTTAAACAACGAAAGTGTGCCACCAGCACTGGAGGGTCAAGATGCATTGTCACCGCGGGATCATCTGTCACGGTAACATTCAGCTCCTGATTATCTTTCTAGCAAGTTACATACCATATGGCTCATGTTTCTTCCACCCTATTTGCAGTACACCAAGAAATCATTGGGAAAACCCATTCGACCATTTGAGACTCATCGACCATTGGATGTCACAGAAAAGAATTTCTGGAGGAATTTTACTCAGCAAGAGCTTAAGGACGTTTAAAGAGAAGAAAGTCATATGTTATCCATTTTCTTTCGTAGTTTATAATGGCAAACCGGTTGGCCATCAGGTATTGAACATGCCTATGTTTATATTATACCGACTTGGTCTTTTTATCGTTCCTCGTTCTGAAATCCGGTTGTTCTTGGATGCTATTCTAATTCTCCCTGGTATGTTCTTCCGTTATCACAGGATCTTGTCGGTTTGTTCATCTCTATTCTACTCTTGGGAGATTTTAGCCTGGTCTTGCTCAGTTTGCTGCAGCTATATTCTATTTCACTGTTGAACTTTTTCTTGGTCTTATTTATTCTTCCTCTCGGTCTACTATTCCCCTTCCCGGCTGGAATCAGTGCTTTGTTTAGTCATGGACCTAGACGGGCAGCAGGTCTTGCGCGTATATATGCTTTGTGGAATATCACATCCTTGATCAATGTCGTAAGTTGTTCTGGACCAAATGGCTTTCGTATTCAAAAGAACGGCATAGGATACAAGCAGGCAATGCCCTTTTTCAACGGCATGATTCCTGACATTTTCCGGTTGTTAACAGGTTGTTGGATTTACTTGTGGATTGATTCATTATACGACCCACACGAGGAAGAAGCATTCGAACTTTCAATCCTGGAATTTTAGCATGTAAGTTGTTAAACCTTCATTGCGGCAAGTGTTTATATAGTGACTGCTGCAACGTAAAGTTCTTGTGTCAATACAGGGATGAAAGTGAATGGTGGGTGCTTCCCTGTGGCTTGGCACTGTGCAAACTCGTGCAGTCGCGTCTCATCGATTGCCATGTGGCGAACCAGGAAATTCAGGATCACTCGTTGTACAGCAAGGACCCTGACGTGTTCTGGCAGTCATGAAAGAGGTTCATTGACAAAGTTCAAGTTTTATTTAATTTTAATATTTGGTTTATTTTTTTTCGGTAAATATGTGTACCCTATATAGATATTTCTTTTTTCGATCGAGGTCATCTTTTAGATCGTGGCCTATAGTATTACCCCAAAAAAAAAAAAAAAAAAAAAAAAAAAAAAAGAGGAAGAAAAAAAGAAAAGTTGTCGTACAAATGTGCCGGTGTATCCAAATCGGTTTTCGCTTGCTGTGTTCATATATTTGCCTGACACTATGAAAAGGAAAACCCTACTTATCAATCCTCGGAAGTCCGAATTCGTGACATGTTTGATTACGAAACGATGGTGTTGTAAATGAAATAAAAATACTAATCAACGTTGTTTCCAATTAGAAGGGACTTGAGTTGGCCCTACTTCGTACTCTGTTTTCAGGCGTGAGAAGTTACGATTTCCTGCAAGCTTATTAGGAGTGGGGTGGGTTGTGGTGGTCTATTCACTAACTCGAGGGCTTAGGCGATGCTTAGTTTGATGTCAGCGTAACCATTTATATGTTTGTGTGCACGTATCATAAAAGTCTTTGTCCACGATAACGATACGAAGCTTGACGACTCCACCTAAAAATTGTTCATCAGCACACTGCAACTGGTCATAAACAATTAAAGTAAATCTTTTATACCAAATAAGACGCAAAATTATAACAATAAATGAAATAGGTATTAAACCAATATTTTTGTTTTGCGGTTTGATAAAATTGTTTCTTATCTATAAATTAAAAAATTTTAAGCTTGACTTCAAAAGATGACGAGTCCAACACTTGATTAAAACCCAATCACTGTCCAATTATCACGATTTATATTCTTTGATATGGTATGATGACGTGGCAGCAGTTAGTTGGTGGAGGTTAACCCAGTGCAGACGGATCTAAACCTTCTATTTTGCTTCTTTGTCTGTTGCCAGAAATCATTTCCGGATCTCTTCTATCAAACTCACTTAATCATCCAATTCAAGTCCTTAAAATTTGATCTAACGGCTAAAGTTATTATAACTTTTAAAAGGGCTTCCTGTGTTTAGCCGTTGGATCAAATTTCAAAGGTCTGAATTTGTTGATTGGGAAGATTTGGTCATAGAGATCCGGAAAAAATCTCTTCCCCGCTGGTATCTAAACTCTAAAGGCTATATAAGGTTAATGTCTATTGTTTACTTATGGATTGAAAGAGAAAAATCCAATAAGATTCAAAACTCTGTATCGGGTCACAATAAGAACTAGATTAAGAGATACGATTTATGCACATCATTTTTCTTCTTTGATGTTTTGTTTCTTCATTTTCTTTTACTCTACTCAATTTAAAATGAAACAAATAAGGACGTGTAGAAGTCAATTCTGGATTAAAACCGAACCATCTTCCTCTTTCTCTCTTTATGTTCTTGTTTGGTATAAATATATATATGTATGTAACCATCCTCTCCTTATAACGGTGACAAATGCGTTATTTTCTGTGACAAATGTACATTTGTCATGTCTCACCACAATTATTATTGCATAGAAAATATCTAGGGAGAGTGCCACGCAAAGAAACAAGTATAACTACTTTTCCCTGCCAAAATCACCTAACCTTCTCTCCCTTGGTGAGTCTCAGAACAGAGAGGAATAATGGGGGAGCAGAGCTTGGAAGCTCCACTCTTGGGCAGTCATGGTTTGGCCAATAACAGCAAAAAGACTGCCAGACCTCTCTGGCTTCTCCTACTTACATTTTTAGCCATCATCATCTGTCGGTTCTCTCTCTCTCTCTCTCTCTCTCTCTGATCATATATGTGTGTGTGTGATCTTTGTGTTCTGGTTTTTGATATTGTAAAAACTTTCAGTTTTCTTTGATTAAGGAACCCCGATTTTCTGTTTTTCTGTTTGATCAACATGCTCAACTCTGCAGACTGCAGCTATGGAGGAGACCAAAATCTTCATGATTTCAACTCGATCGTTCTCTCATAGCTTAATTTCCACTATTAAGTTTTACATTTTATTTTCTCCGGATAATTTTCCTTGTCAAGGGTATGAAGCAATTCAAATGTATCTCACCAAACTTACAAAAAATAAAAACATCAAACTGTGATTTATTTGGAAAGAAAATCAGAAAATTGGAATCTACCGTTTTTTTTTAAGATTCTTGTTTATACAAAGTAGAAGCATAATTCTTGGCCACACATCGTAAAGATAAATGCTTTAATATTTGACCAATTTTTGTATTTTTCATTTAATTTTCTAGTTGTAGGCCTTATATTTGGAGGGGACACGAAGGGCTGGTTACTTGAAGGAGCAAACAAAAACAGTGAGGGGAAATTTGGAGGCAATGAATCTGACATTGTTGAGTCAGAAAATGGAGTTGTTGCTGCAGACGATGCCAGGTGTTCCGAAGTCGGAGCGTTGATGCTCAGGCAGGGAGGGCATGCTGTTGATGCAGCAGTGGCAACTGCATTGTGCCTTGGTGTTGTTAATTCCATGGCAAGTGGGATTGGAGGTGGAGGTTTCATGCTTGTGAGATCTTCAGCAACCTCCCAAACCCAAGCTTTTGATATGAGGGAAACTGCCCCATTAGCTGCTTCACAGGTCTAAATATTCCATCTTTTTGGCTGAAATGCTAGTTTTGTTTGTAGAGATATTGTATAGGAAGACCGGACGCATTGACAAACCTCACTTCTGTTTAATTTTCTTCGACTTTGATCGCATTTATAGATATTGTTGATCCATTATGGTCTAGAATGGTCCCTTAGAAGTTCGATTTCAGGTTAATTGAAGCGAATAACATCAGAGACTAGAAACCTAAAAGAATGAACCATGTCAGTGGATATGATCGAAGTTGAAGAAAATTTGGTATAAAGTGAGGTTTTCTTAAAGCGTCCTGCCAATGGATCTAATCTAATCCTTTAGGCTGATCATTGTCATTGTAAACAAACAGAATATGTATGCGAGCAATCCCAAAGCCAAGGCTGAGGGTGCACTGTCAATGGGAGTTCCGGGTGAGATAGCCGGTCTCCATGAAGCTTGGTTGCAATACGGGCGTATTGCTTGGAAGACTTTATTTCAACCTGCAATAAAACTTGCTAGAGATGGATACGTAGTTGCTCCTTATCTGGGAGGATATCTAAGTACACATGAAGATAAAATTTTAAGCGATCCTGGCTTAAGGCAAGTGTTTGCACCAAATGGGAAGATTTTAAAGGCAGGCGATACATGCTACAATGTGGAACTTGGCCGGAGCTTAGAGGCGGTGGCAGAAGTTGGGCCGCAAGCATTCTATAATGGCACTCTTGGCGAGAAATTAGTCAAGGATGTGAGAGAGGCTGGTGGGATCTTGACAATGGAGGATCTGAGGAATTACAAGGTGAATGTTGTGGATGCAATGGCTGCGAATGTGTTGGGCTACGCTGTTTTCGGAATGCCTCCTCCTTCGAGTGGAACATTGGGGCTGTCTTTGGTGGGTGGTTTCTCTTTCCGAATTATTTTCTTTACCATTTTGTTCTTCAGAAAATGCAATAGCTTATGAAAGCATTAGTTTTCAATCCTAATGGGATAACGATGGCAATGCCTTTTGAAAATTGGAACACAGGTTCTGAACATTTTCAACAGCTATGGAACCACGGATGCTGCGAACGGAGATCTTGGTCTACACCGCCTGATTGAAGCATTGAAACACATGTTTGCAATCCGAATGAATTTGGGCGACCCTGCTTTTGTTGATACAAGTGAATCCGCGTCTGCTATGCTATCCCCATCTTTTGCAAAGAAAATTCGGCAGAAGATATTTGACAACACAACTTTCCCTCCAGAGTACTATTTGCACAGGCACGATCAGCTGACTTTTGTAGTTCAAATTAGAGCTTTTCTCTGAGTGATTATTCTGAATTTTTTTTCAGCTCATAATTAACCAGGTGGAGTCAGCTCAGAGATCATGGAACAAGTCATTTCTGCATAGTAGACGCAGATAGAAATGCAGTATCGGTTACAAGCACCGTAAATTACCCTTTTGGAGGTGGAGTGCTTTCTCCTTCTACTGGAATTATTCTCAACAACGAGATGGATGACTTCTCAACTCCGACAGAGATATCCCCCGACCATCTCCCTCCTGCTCCAGCAAATTTTATTGAACCGAACAAGAGACCTTTATCTTCCATGACTCCACTTATAATCACTAGGGTACAGAAACTGCTGCATTGCATACTTTGCGTGTCCTTAAGATAATAGTATCTAATGAAAGGAGGGATTTTCTGCATTTGCAGGACAATCAGTTGGCTGGGGTTCTTGGCGGTAGCGGTGGTATGAACATAATTCCTGCGGTAACCCAGGTTTTCCTGAATCATTTCGTAATGGGGATGGACCCTTTAGATGCAGTTCAAAGTCCAAGGATCTACCACAGGGTTTGCTTTCTTGCTTCAGTTCATATCCATGATAGATGTTATCAACTCTGTACGTTTTTTTAATAGTTTCTATTAATTCCGTGCAGCTGATACCGAACATAGTTTCCTACGAGAACATGACTGTGATAGACGGTGATCACATTGAGCTTTCAGACGAAAGGAAGCTCTTCTTGCTAGCACGGGGTCATAAGTTGCAGGCTAAGGCAGGGGGAGCCATCACTCAGCTCGTTGTTCAAACCCTTCGAAACCCTGCAAACATAGGCCGGAAAAGCGGAAAGAATTCTAACGAACAAATTTTTCACGGTAGACTCACCGCTGTAAGTGACCCGAGAAAGGACGGGAAGCCTGCGGCCGTATGATTGCAAGTTTCTGTAGATTAGGAAGGAGAGGCCATAGTCGGATTGTGCAGATTTGTTCGTACATAGAAAGACATCACGCGTAGCATAGGTTAATTTTCAGTAATGTTCTCCTTCCCTTTGTGTTTTTGGATGAATTTCAGCAATATTATAGTGTGTTCCAACTTCCAATTAAACCAATCACAATTTTCAATAACCAAGAAAAAAGAATGGTATTTATCCTCATTGCGATTGTTGTACAACAGGCAAACAAAAACAAAATCAAACCCTTCGAGTAACTCGATTCAACGCATAGCAACTAGCATCTAAAATGGCATCTTTCTAATTCATTTTGTCCATCAGCTGTATCGGCGCCAGAATGCTAGACTTGTTCGTCTCAACAATGCATCCATTCATGACCATTTCTTCTAGCATGAAATGCGCTTTCTCCAAATGGAACATGATGTCTAGTTCACACTGCAAATTCAAGAGTAGGAAAACAAAAGTCGGAAGTAAATACCAAGAAAATGTTCGTTTAGCTCGAAAGTTACAAGAAAAAGTTAACTATGCACTCTGTTTCTGGAAGAGGAGCTTACCACATTGCCGAAATGACGGTCCATAGTCTCAACCAACAGATGTATGA